TTACAAGGCTGCTATTTATACCCATCCTAATCATGTATATAAGGTAAATAATAATACTATAGCAAATGCCAAAGATATGTAACAGCTAACTACAATATTATGGTCTAAATGCAAATTATTTCTTTCCTTCAATATGCCCCCGTAAGCCAGGTATTCTGTCACTGCCAAGAATCCCGAGCTTGTCTCTAAGAATAATGAAGCGTTGCCGGGGAATCGGTTTGGTGAGGGCATCAGCTATCTGATTAGAGGATGGGATGTGATGAACTTGAAGAAGTCCACATTGAACCCGTTGCCGAACAAAATGAAAGTCAATGGCCACATGTTTCATGCGAGTGTGGAAGACAGGATTTGCCGAAGGAGTGGAGGAGAAAGGAGCGGGTGCCGCAACTCACGCAAAAGAGATTCAATCCAAATAGTTTCAGAGGCAGCGGTGGAAAGAGCTCGATATTCAGCTTCCGTGGAAGACTTAGTAATGGTACGTTGCTTAACTGACTTCCAAGATATAAGAGACTCCCCGAGAAAAATGGCATATGCGCTAGTAGAGGAACGGTCATCAGGGTTCCCTGCCCAGTCAGCATAATCAAAGGCACACAGAGAGGGGGATGTGCTGCGACAAAGAAACAGGCCATTGGAAGCAGTTCCCTGTAGATAGCGCAAAAGACGTTTGAGAAGCTGCCAATGATTGACCGTAGGTTTATGCATGAATTGAGCCAGTTTGTTAATAGCAAAGGCAGCATCTGGACGGGTAAGATTCAAATATTGAAGTGACCCAAGGACCTGGAGATAGAGAGTGGCATCACATGAGCCTGAACTGTCAAACAAAGTTAATGAAGCAGAGGGAGCTAACGGCGTAGCCACCGGATTAGCCTCATCCACTTTTAATATTTTTAATAAGTCCATAATGTATTTATGTTGATTAAGAAAGAGTCCACCCTGTGTAGGAGTAACCTGCATGCCCAAGAAATAGTGTAAGGCTCCAAGATCCTTGATAGAGAACTGATGGGCCAATGAGTCAATAGTCTGACGTATCAAGTCGGGTGTAGAGCCAGTAATAATAATATCATCCACATAAACCAAAACATAGATGTAAGATGGATGGGAGGAAAAAATGAACAGATTGGCATCAGCAACAAATTGATAAAACCCAAGTGAGAGAAGAAAGCCACTAAGAGATTGATACCACACCCGAGGCGCCTGTTTAAGCCCATAAATAGATTTCCGAAGACGACAAACAAACCCAGAACCATCATTAAAGCCCGGAGGTTGCTTTATGTAAACTTCCTCCCGAAGAGTCCTATGTAGGAATGCATTATTGACATCTAACTGATGTACTGGCCAACCATGAGAAAGAGCAATCGTCAGAACAATACGAATGGTAACCAGTTTGATGACTGGACTAAAGGTGTCAGAATAATCAATCTCGGGGCTCTGATGGAAGCCCTTAGCCACTAGCCGAGCCTTATAGCGATCCAAGGAGCCATCCAGTTTATACTTCACTGTATATACCCATTTACAACCCACAATATTCTGACCAGGCTGAGTCGGAACAAGATGCCAAGTGCCCTATTGAACCAAGGCATCAAATTCTACTGTCATAGCACTCTGCCATTCTGGTACCTGCATAGCTTGAGAAGCACAAGTGGGAATTATATGGTGAGGTAAAGGATCAACAGTGGAAACATTGGCTTGTTTACGGGGTCGAAGGGTCATCGGATGGGTACGTTTAGGCGGTGGAGTATCGAGGGGTGGGTTTGAGGTAGTGAGATCAGTGGTGGTGGGTAAATGAGGAGTGGGGATAGGAGAATTGGGTTTGGGTCGGCGTTGGTAAGTAATAATTTGTGGAGGTGTGGGTTTAGGGGGGGAGAAAGTTGTATATCAGTTTGGGTAGAGGTAGTGGGTGACGTGTCAAGAGTCAATTGTTGAGCCGAGGTATGAGTAGGAGGAGACGCCCCCGCAACCAGAGTACCTGAAATGGGAAAATAAGACAGAAGGCTGAAGCCAGTGATCAACTTCAGAAGTGATATTTGAGACGGGTGGGGAGGATGTAGAAAAGGGGAAGACTGACTCATCAAATACAACATGTCTGCTGACAAAGATACGGTTGGTGGTAAGATCAAGACAACGATAGGCACTTTGTTGGTCACAATATCCCAGGAAAACACATGGTTTGGAGCGTGGTTCTAATTTATGAGTGGTATAAGGACGTAACCATGGAAAACATTGGCACCCAAAATCAGCAAGTTTAGTGTAATTAGGAGGTTGTTGGAAGAGTTTTTCATATGGAGTGCAGAAGTTAAGAGAGAGAGAGCGGGTTGTCTATTAATGAGATAAACTGTGGTAAGAAAAGCATGAGCCCAATATTTAAGGGGCATGGATGCATGGTGAAGTAGGGTGATACCAGTTTCCACAATGTGACGATGCCGACGTTCAGCAAAGCCATTGTGCTCTGGAGTGTAGGGAGGCATAAATAAATGAGAAATACCACATGTGCTTAAGAATTTCCCTAAGGTTATGTATTCGTCTCTCCCATCAGAGTAAACGGTTTTAATTGTGCGTTGAAAGAAGTTTTCAACAATCTTTTTAAACTGTTGAAAGAGTGGAGTGACCTCACTTTTATGAGTTATAGGATAAAACCAAATATATTTGGTATAATGATCAACAAAGATAACATAGTAACGAAAGCCATCAATAGAATTAACACGAGCGGGACCCCAAACATCTGTATAGATTAAGTCTAGAGGTCCAAAGCTCGAAAGAGATGATTTTGCAAATGGCAGCTTATGGCTTTTATTACTAGCACACGAGACACATAGAGAATTATTCGTAGTAACATCAGAAAAGGAAATACCTAAGGAAGATAGAATTTTTTTAGTAATAGGGAGGGCAGGATGTCCTAAGCGACATTGCCAATTATTAAGGGAATATTTTTGTGTGATGTGAGCAGATGGAGATGGTGGAGGGGGTACATCTGGCAAGCTGTAGACGTCGACGTCTCCTTTATTCATACCCCGTAACAAAATTGCTCCCGTTCGCCGGTCCTTAATAAGACAATAGGAATAATGAAATTCAATTAGTACATCATTATCACGACATAATTTGGCGACATAAATTAAATTGGTATGAATTAAATTGGTATGAATAGAAGGGACAAAAAGGGTATTAGGTAGAGAAAGAGAGTGAAGGTCATATGCCCAACTTGTGCTATCGCAAGACCTTTACCGTTACCAATAACGAGAGAATCAGTGCCAGTATAATCGGATGCCAAGGTAAGATTATTCAGGTTGTTGGTGACATGATTGGTTGCTCCAGAATTAAGTAGCCAGCCATTGTGTCGAGTGACATCCGTATTGACTTGAGGAGGGTAAGCTTGTTGTTCAAACTGATGCCAACAGTTGAGAGCAGAATGGTTCGGTTTCCCACAAATTTGACATGTAACATTGCCCCGAAATTACCAAACCCCGGACTGTTTCGTGCTGCCTGGTTGGTAGTGGGTCCCCCAAAATTTTTATTGCCATGTCGGTTGGGACTGTAATGGGTATTGGGCCGCTGGTTTCTGGGCTGAGTCCGATTGGTGTTGCGGGCCGAATAATTAGGGCGACTGGGCTGCTGTTGTAATTGGGCCAACGGTCCAGGGCCCAAAATAGAAGGGGTTGGATCTCTGCGCGCTACAAGGGCTGCCGACTCCCCTGTACTTACGTTATTAGCCGTCACCACAACAACATAGGAGTTGAAGTCTTCTTTCCGCTTCATGGAGTCTTCGAAGCCAGTGAGCAGGGTATAGATCGTCTTAAACCTATTGTCACCGCAAGTCCGAACGGAGTGAGCAAAGGATTCGAACTCGGGTCGGAGTCCCTCCAGTGCTTGAACGACGAAATCTTCGTTATCTACAGGACGGCCGTCCTGAGCCAATTCATTGGCGAGCGTGCGCGGGTGATGGAGATACGCCCCACTGGTTGAGCCTTCTCGAGTGTGGCGGAAAATATCCTTCATATTCTGGATTTGGGATGGTGAACGAGTCCCATAGAGGTCCTCAAGAGTTTTCCAAACTGTTGCAGACGTGCGAGAGGATCCAACTAGGGGTTTACAGGCCGAACTCAACGAAGCTATGAGGGCGTGTCGGATGAGCCTATCTTGCCTTGTCCCTCTGAGACGGCCATCGACATCACTCTTCGGTGGCCGGGCAGCATCGTCGGATATGTACTGATCAAGATGAGACCCGAAGAGAAGATCCAAAATCTGATCGCGCCATACAAGGTAATTCAAACCATCCAGCTTTTCTGGGAAATGATTGGGATTTAGAAGGATTAATCCATCTGGGGTGAGGGGTGCGGAAACTGTTGTAGAAGGGATATTAAGGGTGATGGATGTACTGGTAGGAACATTGTTGAGGTCTCCTTGTTAGAGAACCTCAAGCTGGCTGTCGTTGGTTGTCATAAGGGAGGGAAGGAGGGCTGGTTAGAGCTCAGTGGCTCTGATACCATAATAGAGAGAAGAGAACAAATGTTTTGAATATATTTCTGTGTGTTAAAACTGGTTTACAAGGTTGCTATTTATACACATCCTAATCATGTATATAAGGTAAATAATAATACTATAGTAAATGCCAAAGATATGTAACGGCTAACTACAATATTATGGTGTAAATGCAAATTATTTCTTTCCTTCAATAATGAAGATGTTGCCATCTCATCTGACAAAGCAGTCGTCGATGTTGGCCCTTCAGTCGTTGGTGGCATGAATGCCTTTGAGAGCGTTGCCAAGGAGGCTGCGATCTCCGCCACTTGGAGTCCTTACGTGTCCAGTTTATTTCCCTTAGTTTCTGATTCATCAAGGCCTGTTCGGCCTCCACCTTCGTCAAACGATCAGTGTTGCATCTTCTCATTCCGGCGAGAATGGGATCTGACAGGTCGGACCAATTGATGAGAACAAAAAGTTAAAAATCAACAGAAAAAACCGTTGCCCAGAGCCAATAGACTGAAATCCAATTTTATTAACCGATAAGCAAGAATAAACCCTAACAAGGGGTTTACATACCCATGTACTAATTCCACACTCGGAAACAAAATCATAAAAATTCTAATTAACTCCAAATAGGAAACAAAATAATAGAAATCCTAATTAACTTGGAATGATTATATACATCATCATCTTCACGCCGGTGCCGCAAAACCAACAGGGTAAGGGGGTCGGAGGCGGTGGTAGGCTTAATCCTGTCTCCGTGTGCGGTAAACCAACAGGGGTTTCGGCCCCTCTTCTTCCTGGTCCAGCCGCTGCTCTCTATCACTTTATCTTAATAATTTACTTTGTATCTCCATGTTTTTTTACTTTACAGTCCAAGAGGTGTGCAAAATCAAGTATTAAGGTAAACAACCAAACATAGTTACATTTTGGGATTGGGGTAAGATATGCGCCAGAAAGGTTTGTATATTCAGTTTGTTTGGTTTAGTTTAGAGGATGCAAATCTTCCTAGAATATTGGTATTTGCACCGTAAGTTTATACGTGTTTGACTTTGTACCAACTTGTAATGGAGAGAAATTATATGGAGTGAAGTCTAATATTAGGGTAAACATTGGATGCAGTTACTAAATTTCCATGTTCATACATTTTTAACTTACAGCCAACCCCATTGATTTGGAATTATGGGTATGTACTGCCGTATATTTCAGCTTCTCTCATCACTAAAATCTTTTGGTTTCTTCTGATAGAAGTTCTTGGTTACTTACTATTGTCCAAGACTACGTTTCTTAACGTTATCAGTTAACCTGTCAGTTTATCAGCACGATAAACAAGAGAATCTCTGAGCAATATTCTAGGCTTTAACATAATTTGCCTTCTCCAGATAGATTTGTACAATAGTGTGGTCAATAAAGAAGGAACTGAAGGGGAAGAAGAAATCAAGAAGGCTTATAGAGCAGCTAGGGAGGATATTGATGACACTACAGAGACAGCTGTAGATGACAAAGTTTCGTCGGCACTCATTGACAAGGTTAGGAAGGCTTCAAAATCCACAAATGGTTTCTGTATGACTTGCATTAGCATGAGCTGAAGTGTGAACACATTAATGTGCTGTTGTATTCTTATTTGTGCTTCTCAATATTTAGGTTGATGCGATGCTTCACAACCTTGAAAAGGAAATTGATGATGTGGATGCAAAAATTGGTGATGGATGGCGGTTGCTTTATAGGTCTGTAGTTCATGCATTACTAAAATCTTTTGGTCTCAGTGTTCCACTCATATTAGGGGTGCCCCTCATGATATTATCAACATGCCCTTATTGAATTGTAGGTATAGATGTCTCTTTATACAGTACACAATACACATACTCAGGGAGTCAGGGCCATTCGAGATCCCCTTCAGTTTTATTTTTTCCCCCAGTTTTCAAAAGATACTCCTCTGTCCCTTTATAACTTTGCCAACTTTTCTTTTTTGATTATCCCATTAACTTTGACACTTTCCCTATTCAATATAGAATTTTTGGTTCGTGTTAATTCTCTCTTGTACCCTATGTTTGGTGGTTCTTGCTACCTTGCCCATCTGCCACATGAAAAATAATAGAAAACACAGGTTTGACCCTAACTACATAAGATGTCACTTACTCCCTTTCTGGACTTGAGGTGAATAATTATGGTGTCTAAATGAAAGGATAATGGACCTCTTATGTGATTGGGTCAACTGGTCAAATAAGGGATTAAGCCTGGGTGCAAAGTAGAACTAGTCTATCACTAAAGGAGACATAAATAAATAAATAAATAAATATATAAATAAATAAATAAATAAATAAATAAATAAATAAATAAAATACATAAATAAATAAATAAATAAGACAACTTTGTAGCGTGTTTCCTTTACTAAATGTCTGAAAGTTAACTCCATTTGTAGAAGATAAAATTTTCTAATCTATGTGTAGGGATCATGATGGCAAAGTTACAACAGAGGAAGTTGCTTCAGCTGCAAATTACCTCAAGGACACCTTAGCAAAGGATGGTATCCAACAGCTAATTAGCAACCTTTCTAAAGATAGAGGTTTGTCCTTAAAATCTCATCCCAAGTTCTGATCTTTTTTGCTTTTTATACAACCAAATGTAATAGGATAAAAAATTGTAGTCCTTGACTACCTCAACTTATCTTTTCCAATTTAAGTCTTGATTTATTATATGTTTTTTTTTCAATTCAAACAAATCTTGGTCCTAGCTAAGGAAACACATTTTGCATTAGTTGGTAAAATTGATGGTAGTGTAGGAACCAAGCAAGACTAGTACTCGTTTTTCTCATGCATAAATATATTTTCAGCCCATTTGGTGGCTGAAATCACGAAATCTTCTAAACTTTCTAAAAAAGCTATTGGTGAAAATTGTTTCAGTCAAATTATTGAGCGAAATAAACTGATTGATGCTGGGGCATTAAGTGAAATCTATTTCCCTAACTAGTTTTTCCTTTTTTATAATTTTTTTTTTTGAGAATTTGGTTATTTTCAAAATTTGTTTTTATATAATTATGTCCATTTGGCAACAGAAGGAAAAATACTCGTGGAAGATATTGTCAGATTAGCAAGCAAAATGGAAGATTCCGAATCAAGTGAAGAAAAGCCGGATAAGAGAGGCAAATACCGATATCCTTAGACTTAGAACATTTGTTCTAACCCTTATACTCGCCCGCTTATATAGAATAAACAAACATTTTCAGTTAACCTTTGGTTGTTGATGCTTCAGGCTTATCCCATCCTGTGAATAAACAGATAACTTTACATTGACCCGTTTCAACTTTACATAAACAGATAACTCATCAAACTTGGGGAATAAAATCCAGCCTTGCGTTTTGGTTGGGGTCCAAACCATACCAAAGGTACGGAAGTGATTTTATGTTGTAATAATAGAGAAAAGAAGATTATAAGCTAATTCCCGCTCTTAAGTTATGAAAAATGTCCTCCCATTAGTTTGCTGCTGGTCAGTTGGCTACATAAGAAATGTTGAGGTGACGTGATTTGCACCCGACATTAGTGTCAACCCCCAATGGTTTTCCATCAACTGGGAAGGTGGGTGTAGTCCAATGGATGATCATCTACCCCCAAGTCTCTCCTTTGTGGGAGGTCTTGGGTTCCATTCCCACCAAGGGGAGATGAGAGAGGTCTTGCTCCCAATGAGTTTCTCAGCGACTGAGAAGGGAGAGGATGGTAATGAAGGTAGCGGGTTCGTGTGGTGGGAGGAGCAGTCTGAAAGGTGATGTAAGTCATGCTGGATTCGTCCTTTGGAGCCAATACTGACGAGGCTGACTGTGATCAGATCCGGATTTAACTGTCTAGGGGCTTTGGAGGGTAGTTCATAGACTCAAGGATTATGGGAGCGTAAGCCCCAACACTTGGATTATAAAAAAAAAGGAAAATGTCAACTTTGTAGTGCCAATCAAGGATAGGCTCGGTGGACCACCGGGTGTACCTAACCAGTAGTAGCGGATTTGGAATTTAATTTTTGGGTGTTCCCTACTTTTTTACAACTGCAAATTTAATGGGGAATAAATAATTATACCAAATTTACACATATTTACTTACATGTTTTTAAAAATTTGGGTTTTCATGTGAACCCCTTTGTATGACTGGCGGAGCCAATACAATTTTTTATTTAAATTGTTGTTATACACAACAACTTGGATACAAATATTTTTAAAACTAATTATTCTATATTAGCATGAACTCTTACATGTTGAAAAAAAAATTAATAACTTGTTTTTCAAAAATAAACCTAATTTTATACTCCCTCTATCCTATGAAATATTACCACCTTTTCGTGTGTAAGCGTCTTAAAATACTCCCTCCGTCCCCTTTTAAATGTCCCATTTTACCATATTGGGATGTCCCTATTTAATTGTTCCATACCTTATTTGGTAAAGTTTGTGTGACTCAAAATCATTCTTACTTTATTCTTACTTTATCTATTAATATCAACCACACAAATCTACTTTTCTTAAAACTCGTGCCACCCTCTTCTGGGACATTTAAAAGGGGACAGAGGGAGTATTTTTCTATTTCCATTTAAAGTAATAAATATGTGGTTACAATTATTTCTTTTTTACTATATGTGGAATCCAGCCCATTTGGTTGTAAAGTTACCGTGTCTAGTGGGATTGTGGGAGGTCTTGAGTTTGAAACTCGCTAGGCACATATGGGTTTGAAACTCAATGGAGTGAGTTTCAGCCATGATAACTCCAGGCCCCAGCCCCCCTCCCCCAGACTAGGGATGGACCAAACCGGGCTGGCCCAACCCGGAACCGACCTGGCCCGCCCGGATAAGTAATGGGAGGTTCGGGATTTGACCCGGCCCGGGGGAGGGGAGAGGTTTGGGCACAATTCAGGAAATAGGTGACCCGGCCCAGCCGGTCCGGGCCAACGGCTAATTTTTTTTTTAAATTCTTTTGGCCATCCAAACAGGCCTTAGAGCCGTTGTAATTCAACCCAAACGACTATATAGCCGTTGGGAGCCTTCTAGGGTCCCGGGGTGGGTTAGGGGGAGGGTGAGGGGTACAAAAAATCTACAAATATTTCATTTTTTCAATATAATTTACTACACATCTTCTCCAAATATTCCTACTCTCTAATCTCTATTCTCTACTAATCTTCTCCATCTTCATCTTCTCAAATTTATAACTACATAAGTATATTATATTTATTATCTACTTATTATCTACTTATATTAATATCTAATTATTATATTATTGTTACTTATATTTATTTACTTATATTTACATATTACATATTACATATATAATTATCTCTAATTGATTTACTTATATTTACATTTTAGATATACTTAATATATACTTATATATATTAAAGTATTATATATAAGTGTATTACTAATCTTATAGTAATATACTTATATTATATATACTATAAACATAATATTATATATTACTAGTTAATCTACTTATTATCTACTTATAAATATATATTAAGTATATCTACTTTTTTTTTGAAAGATAAGTATATCTACTTATACACTTATTATCTACTAATCCAATTGTTTATACACTCTCACACTCCCATTAATTTAGTTTACACACTCATACATTCTTTATTAGTATAAAACTAGTTAATTGTTTCACTTATGATTTTAGTATTAGTTCATTGCTATAAAAGTAGTTAATTGGTAAACTAGTTAATTCGAAATTAATTGTTTAATTGTTAAACTAGTTAATTGTTACATTTATAATCTCCTATCATAGTAGTTAATTGTTACATTTATTATTCTCCTATAAAATCTAGTTAATTGTTAAACTTGTTAAATAAAGTTGTTGCATTGTAAAACAAATAGTTCGAATTTTAGTTAATTGGTAAACTAGTTAATTCGAAATTAATTGTTTAATTGTTAAACTAGTTAATTGTTACATTTATTAATCTCCTATCATAGTAGTTAATTGATACATTTATTAATCTCATATCATAGTAGTTAATTGTTACATTTATTATTCTCCTATAAAAACTAGTTAATTCTTAAACTAAGTTGTTACATTGTAAAACAAATAGTTCGAATTTTAGTTAATTGGTAAACTAGTTAATTAGAAATTAATTGTTTAATTGTACTTCGAATTTAATATTTGTTATATTTTTAATATGGAGCGTGCTAGAGCTTCTGTAGATATGGGTAACCTCCGCCGCAACCGAACAAAGAAGATTGCGAGGAATCATCCAAGGTCACGCAAAGGTAAGGGAGGGGCTGGATCTTCATCTCAAACCCGAGATGATTTTGATGCGGATTACAACCAAAGATATGGGGATGCGATGTCCGATGAGCAACTAGAACAACTATTGCAACAAAATCAAGGAGGTTTTTTTCATCAACAAGACATCCTGCAAACCATTGACGAAGAAGAGCTCGAGGATGATGATGCAGAGGAGAGGGTTCCACGAACGGTCGAGGATGAGGTTCATGGCACACCGGACGATGAGGAAGAGGAAGCGGAAGTGGCTACTTCTTCCCAAGCCGGTGGGAAATCTGAATCTGTCTTTAAGGCAAATTTTACAAAAGTTAAAGACCTCGAAACCGAGATATGGTACGCCACTTGCAAGCATTGCAACAAAAAGTATAATTTGGGAATTTCTGGAGGTTACGGAGCGCCACAAGACATCTTAAGGCCAAGCACCCGGCGGAATATGCGAAATCGGACAAAGGCAAGAGAAGACAAACACAAATTTCAAGGTTTACAACTGGCCAACCCTTTGGTAATTTCTCCTATGATGATCAAAGACATTTGACTGATATGTCTCATTTAATTGTTGAAGAAAATTTGTCTTTTATTTTTTCTGAAAGTCTTGCTTTAAAAGAATATGCTCAAGGTTTTTTTAAATCCCCAATTTTGAAACTATAGTCGCAAAACAATTAAAAAAGAAGTTATAAGGCAATATGTTTTGGAAAAGCAAAAATTATAAACGTTTTTCGCAAACTTTGATGGACGTGTTAGTATATGTAGTGATATATGGGAGGATACTCATCATCATTTATATTATTTCGGTTTGACTACACATTATATTGATGATGATTGGTGTATGCATAAACATGTTCTTGCTTTTCGTGAATTTAATGATCGACATACCGGTGATAATATTTATATTCTCATTGAGCGTATTTTAATTGAGTACAATTTGATTAATAAGGTGTTTGCTATTAGTTTTGATAATGCTACTAATAATATTGTCGCTATTCCTAGATTGCGTGAATTTGTGTGGTTTATCTTTTTTGATGGGTAGGTTTTTCATCAGCGTTGTGCATGTCATATTTTAAATTTATGTGTAAAGGACGGGCTAGCGGCGTTGGGAGATGCTATGGAGGTGGTGAAGGGAGGGATTAAACTTATTTGGGCTAGTAATCAACTTAAGATGCAATGGAGAAATTATTTGAAAGAAAGACGTGTCAAATATTGTGATTTTCCTAAAGATTTGTCTATTCGTTGGAATAGTACTTATAACTTAACTAACGTGCTTATTAGATTTAAAAACCATTTTCCTGCTTTTTTAAAAGAATATGCTAACTATATTATAAACCTGACCGACATCGACACTTGTGAAAAAGTTTTGAATGTTTTGGTGTATTTTAATAATGCAACTCAAACTTTTAGTCATGTTTATAAACCTACCGCAAACCAATTTTTTGTTGAAACTGTTAATCTCGCCGGCGCTTTTTGTGAATTTGCTTATGCCGCTTAGGTTAGTTATTTTTGTGACTTCATGAAACAAAAGTTTTAAAATATTATTCCTATATTCCGCATATATATATATATATATATAATATTGCATTTATTCTTGATCTTTGTTTTAGACTTGCTTCTTTGGAGCAATGTTTAGATTACTATTATGCTTTTTTTTATCCATTGCCTATGTACGACGAAAAGGCTATAGACCCGAAACAACAATTTGAAGAGGTTAGTAATTTATTATATCAATTATTTAATGAGCTTCATGCACAATATGGTAACGCATCCCCTCCCCCGCCATGAACATCTTCATCTAAAGGAAAATCAATTTTGAAATCTGCATTTGGCAATCTTATGAAAAAAGTAAATCAACTCCGGTTAATGAATAAAGCTCGATTAACGAGCTTTCTTTGTATCTAGTATTTCCTGTTGAGTATGAAGAAGATGATGACTTTGACGTTCTTCAGTGGTGGAAGGAAAAAGAGAGAACGTTTCCGATCTTATCAAAGATGGCTAAACAAGTGCTAGCAATGCCGGTATCAACAGTTGCTGTGGAACAAGAGTTTAGTGCGGCCAACAACGTCCTAACGGATTATAGAACGAGATTGAACGCAAATTCTCTTGAGACGCTTGTTTGCTTCCACGATTGGTTGAATGCCAAACGTAGAACTCAAATATTAGCATTGAACCCACCCGCCACTTTATGGAAGAAACAACCGAAGATGGCGGAAATTCCGATTGATTCTTATTTATTAAAAAGTGTATTTCATGTTTTAATTTTTGCTCAATTTCCAATTGTATTACATATTTCAAATAAATATATTTTAAATTTTTTATGTCCACAACAACAACAACAACATCCAAGCCTTAGTCCCAAAAGATATGGGGTCGGCTAACATGAATCGATACATGATATCACAACCAAAAGGAAAAGAAGGAATAAAGATAAAAATATAAGTTATTATGAAAAGATAATATAAAAAAGATGAATATATATAGAAATGATAAAATAAAAAGGCTGCAAAACATGCATATATATATATATAAGGATAAAAAAAAAACTAGGAAAAAAAGATGAGGGAAAAAGATTATCAAGATCACTCCTTCACGTGAATACCCGTCCTCCACTTAGTTCTCTCCAAAGTCATGCCCTCATCCAACCCCAGAAGAAGCATATCACTTCGAACTCCCTTAACCCACGTCTATTTGGGTCTTCCTCTCCCTCTCTTCCCTGCCTCTTCTCCACACATCTCAACTCGCCTAACAGGTGCATCACTCGGTCTTCTACGCACATGACCAAACCACCGTAGGCGCGACTCCCGCATCTTGTCTTCAATAGGTGCTACTCCCACCCTTTGTTTGAATGTCTCATTCCTCACGCGGTCCTTCCTAGTATGCCCACACATTCAACGCAGCATGCGCATCTCTGCCACACTCATCTTTTGAATGTGACATTGTTTCACCGCCCAACACTCTACGCCATACAGTAATGCAGGCCTAATTGCTGTCCTATAAAATTTACCCTTCAGTCTAGTCGACATACCTCGGTCGCATAGAAATCATGACGCACTCTTCCACTTCATCCACCCTGTTCTGATTCTATGGGATACATCTCCATCTAACTCACCGTCCTTCTGAATTATGGAGCCCAAGTAACGGAACATATCGCTGACTGGTATCTCCTTACCATCCAGAGTAATTCCGCTATTACCACTACTTCTACCTCCACCAAACTTGCACTCCATGTACTCTGTCTTGCTCCGACTTAGTTTGAAACCCTTATTCTCCAATGTTTGTCGCCATACTTCCAACTTTGCTTTAAGACCTGATTGCGTCTCATCAATCAATACAATATCGTCGGCAAACATCATGCACCACGGTATATCGTCTTGAATTGACTTCGTAAGTTCATCCATGACTATGGCAAATAAGAAAGGACTCAAGGCCGATCCTTGGTGCACTCCGATAGTAATAGGGAACTCTTCAGTCCTCCCTACACTAGTACGAACACTTGTAGTACAATCCTCATACATATCCATGATGATACTGATATACTTGCGTGATATGCCTTTCCTAGTTAAGGCCCACCAAAGAACTTCTCGAGGTACCCTATCATATGCCTTTTCTAAGTCAATGAACACCAAATGCAGATCCTTATGAGCATCTCTATACTTCTCCATAAGTTGACGAAGAAGGTGAATAGCCTCAGTTGTTGAGCCCGGGCCCGGGCCGAACCAGCCCACTACCCGGTCGGGTAGGCCCGACCCGGACCGGACCCGGTATCACCCCGGGCCGGTTCCGGGCCCATGTTTCTACAAAAAAAGCCCGCCCGGGCCCGGCCCGGAACCGGAACCAGATCGGCCTGGGTCCATCCCTACCCCAGACCCTCCTGAAGTAAAAAATATATATCTACCATAGTTTTTATTTTATTATCTCATGTGCAATTCTACCTTGACCAAGTTTTATGGAACGAAAAAGATATTTTTTACATGGGTATTGACATCAGTATTACTAAAAGAAAAAACTATAAGAAACTTTATCTATAATGACAGGATAACCTGCCGTTAAAACATACAATCCTGTCATTAAATATTTTTAGAGAGAATTCCCTAGCTAAATAGGACTAAAAGAAGGTGAAATTGTAAAAACAAGTCATATTGTTTTAAATTCCCTAAATAGGAGTAATTATTTGTATTTGTACAAAAATAGCCTTGATTAGTGCAACACATTACTCTGGGATGAATGTTCGCTGGTGCGATGAATGTCGCTGTCATGCCCATGTAATTTTCTTCTTCTTCATCGTTTTCTTCTGCTCCTCTGTTAACTTCTTCTCAAGCTCCCATGTTTTCTTCTTCTACAAATTTTCTATTTTCTTTTTCTTTTGGATTTTCAGTTTTTTATTAATCTGATTAATTTTATTTAAAAGATTCATATTATTGTTCTCATCACTTCAATCTGAAAAATGCCATAATTGATGTTTAATCCAACACTATTATGTAATAATGTCACTTTTATGTCATTACATTTGTCAAGATGACGGTTCAAAAAAGAGAATGACATCTCATGACATTTTTAAAAGAGTAATAATATCATTTTCAAGACATTTTCGAAACAAAAATGACATATTTAAAGTGTCAGTTTTTCAGTAACAATGTCAGTTTCATGACATACCGTCATCTTGATAAATGTAATTTAATAAAAGTGACATTTTTCTAAGGAAAGAGGGAGGAGGAGGAGGAGGACCAAAGAGGCCGAAATGGGTGGTCCGAATTGGCTGAAATGAGCCTCATCGATTGAGCTCCGTATTGGGATAATGTCTTGGGATCCTGAACAGTAGTAGGTCGAGATAATATATCCCAACAAATACTAATTTAGTACCCCCTCCATCATGAATTATTTTCCAAATGTCTTTTTTGGCTCGCCTCAAAATAATCACTTTTTTCTTTTTTGGAGAAAAGAATTTGTGGTTCACAATATTTCTTACACATTTTTACATATTTCTCTCTCCTCTACACAACTCTCCACCACACAATTATCACTTTCTTAATTCCCGTGCAAAATCAACTTTGGAAGATGATTCAAGGAAGGGAGTAATATTAAAAAAAAATTGAATAGTTAATTAATACACATTTTAATTTTATGGACCGATATGTCCTTTTATCAAATGAATATAACTCTTAGACTGATTGTATACTACTCGGCTGTATTCCGGTCTTCTTCTTCTTCTCTCTCACCGAGCACGGTTAAAAATAGGCCTGGGATTTTGGAACCGGGAACCGAAAAAATGACCGGAACCGAACCGATATAGAACGGTTCGGTTCGGTTCCTATTTATGGTGATATAAAAATTATCGGTTCGGTTCCCGGTTTGTTATAAAAAAAATTGGCTTAGAACCGATTGGAACCGATAATCCACAATTCATTTTTAAAACTTAAAAGTTAGACAACCTTTATTTGTATTCCGTAAACCCATGATGAGTTTACTGCAGCCTTTAGCCCACTGGCAACCTTTAATCCTCTACTCCTCTTCAACCTTTAGCCCATTACCCTTAGTTTTAGTAGGAAAACCCTAGCATCTCCGCTCCTCTGCTATTTTGGATCTCTCCTCTTTCAATGGATTTCATGGCTTCCTCATAGGAGAGATCATAGATAGGTAAGCATCTCTAGCTATCTGTATTTTTTTTAATTCAAACTTTCGTAGTTCCTGGAAAAACCACCAAAGTCTTGCCTTCTTCTTCTTCAGGTCAGCGACATTTCTTCTGGCGTGAAGTTGCTGCTCGTTTTGGTTTTCTTTCTCCGGTGCTACCTCGCGTCAAGAGCTAAGAGAAGGTAAAGGCAAGATATGTGAATTACAAGCTATCTAACTTCTTCATTTCTCTTTTAAACCATTATAATTTTGTTTTTCCATATGATAATTATCTATTTTATCTCTTCTACGAAAACATCATCTATTGGTACGCCTATATTTCCTTCTTTTTTATTTCCTCTGTTTCAGATTAAGTTTTGCCTTATGAATAGGTATTTTCGGGTTAAACCTTGCAATTATGATGTAGATGCCTGATCTTATTTAGAAGCTTGGTTTTGATATTTTCACATTTTGATTTGCTTGCAGATGGAATATTATGAGCTAGATTTTAATTTTGGTTTTGATATTTTCACATTTTGATTTGCTTGTATATACCTTATTTGTATACGTAGTATATAGCATTGAATCAACTTGGCCTAAAAAAAGTAGAAGTTTCCTTGAAACTGAATCATAGTAAAATCAAACAGCTTTTGTAAAATAAGTTAATAACAAGGATAGCAGTCTTTAACTTTAGTTCAGGTATTCTTTCTCTCAAAATGTTCAGCTATTAGTTGACTATTTTGATATTCAATTAATGGTCAGAATGCTTTTATTTTAGATCAAATAGCTATCCATTCTGAGAAGTTGATGCAGTTCACTATTATGGATATCCATTGTTAAATAATTACTACTGCCCTTTTATTTAATGTCAATAACTCAATTTTAAATAATTTTTCAGGAATGAGTTACTTGAAGCTGGCTATCAATTCTTGTTACTTTGGGAATCTACAAGACTACAACCATCCTTGTTGATCCATTAGAATCATATTAACATATACGATTATATTCTAATTATTTATTGAACAAACTGATTTTTTTGTTAAGTTTTCAGTTTTTAATTAATACTTGAACATTAATGTTTCGTGTGATTGTAATGCTGAAAGAAGATGTATTATTGAAGGGTTGTTGTATTTTCGGAACCGATAAAAAGCAAGAACCGAACCGTTTGGACTTGATTCGGTTCCTTAACGGTTCTACAATTTTTTTACTAGAACCGAACCGATTTTAATAGTTACATTTTTCTTAACGGTTCCTACAATTTTGGATAAGAACCGAACCGGTCCCAGGCCTAGTTAAAAAGAGCCACTCAACCATTAATCTACTTTACAGTTAGCCGCCTCTCCCTCATACCCCTCTAAATGGTAAGTCATTATCCGCCACAATCATCTTCTTGTTCTACCTTTTTCCTTTGGTGACCATCAATGGTTGTTATCACAATCTTTATGGATTGGGTGAGGAACGGCATCAAATGAATGCGTGTGGAAAGAGTAGTGACGTCGGTGAGAAGAGTAGTGGCATAAAAAACAAGAGAAGTGACAATGACACTAAGGCCCTGTTTGGTTGGAGAGTTTCGAAGGGGAGGGAAGGAAAGTGGGGAATTTGTGTGTGTTTGGTTGAAGGAAACAAGAGGAAGGGGAGGAAAGTGGAAGATTTTCAAAATCCTTCACTTCCTCTCATTCTAAACCCCTCAAATCGGGGTATTTCGGAGGAAACGTGTTGATAACCACAAACTATCCATCTCCTACGTAAATGAACAAAACGTTATAATATAAAAAGGTAAAAAAACAAAAAGTTTTGAAAAATTAAAAAAATTAAAAATATAAAAATTTAAAAATTAAAAAATTTATAAATTTAAAAAATTGAAATTTTAAAAATTTAAAAATTATAAATTAAAAATTTTAAAAATTAAAAATAAAAAAATTTAAAAAATAAAAATACAAAAATAAAAAATTCCAAACTGAAAAATGAAAAATTATAAAATTAAAAAAGTAAAAATAAAATAAAATAGAATTATGACTCATGACCATAGGAGTAATATTCACAATAGTTAGACATTATCTATTTTTTTAAGTAAGCTATCAAATAAAAGTAAATTGCGAAATTATTTTCATTAAACCTTTCCTCCTATTTCAATTCCTCCAACCAAACACAAATTTTTATCAAAATCCTTCCTTCCCCTTTCCTTCCCTTCCATCCTTTACTCTCCCCTTCCCTCCCCTCCTTTGAACCAAACAAGGCCTAAGGGTGTGTTTGGCAGTTGGGTTTTGGAGGGGAGGGGAAGGTTAATGGAGGTTTATGATCCTCCTTTTCATGTTTGGGAGTAAAAAAATTTGGAGAGGGTGGTTTTGGAGGGCTTTTGTAACCCTTCAAAACCTTCCAAATGCTTGGTTTTTAAGTTTCCTCAATTTGGAGGATTTTGAAGGATAATTAACAAGATGATAATTTAAGCTAAATTAGAAATAAATATCAGCTTAATGATTTGAATTCGACATATCTTAAAGTGATTTTAATTATAATTCCTTCAAAAACCTTCTCCTTCCAATTTTATTACTCCCAAATACAAAGAAGAGCTTCCTCACCTCCCTCTCCCTTTTCCCTCCAACAACATACCTCCAAAGTTTTTCTCTCCCCTTCCCTTCAAACTCTCAAACATACCCTAAATGAAGTAAACTATAAAAAATAATGTAACTAAATGAAGTATACACAATGCCCTTATAAATTCTCAATGACCTAAAACTAAAAAGTATCCACTTCATGCCATTCGTATCCGGCGTCACTGCCCTTCTTGTTGACATCACTGCTTCCCCACCGACATCATTGTTCTTCTCATCGACTTTACTTCTCACCAACATCACTGCCCTTTCCACCGGCTTCACTTCCCTTCTCGTGTGCTTTTCCTTCTCTTTTGTGCAAGTAAAGGGAAAAATAAAATTGAACAAGTAGAGAATGATGGAAAAGAGAGAGGAGAGGGGTGGCCGAGTGGGGAGAAGATAGCGATGAGTACGGATGGACTTGGGCCGAGTCAACCGGGCAGGCCTGGTACTGTTTCGGCCCCACCCGGTCTGGTCCTGTTCACCCGGACCGTATTATTTCGGGGCGGGCTCTGGGTCCCAAAAAACTGAACCGGTCCGGGCCAATTTTTCTTTTCACAATCTTTCGGAGGTAAATGGGTTAGATTGGGTGTTTTGGAGAGGTTTGGGGTTTGAGGTGGGGGTGAGGGTGGGGTAAGTAGTAATTAGAAAATAAAAAAATAGGGTACCCGACCTGGCTCGGACCAGACCCAGACCGGGTAGCTACCCGGGTCGGTTCCGGGTCTCAACAACCCAAAAAAAAGCCCCACCAAGCTCGGCCCGAGTCCATGCCTAGCAATGAGTAGAGAGGACCTGAAGATAAACATGGGAGAGGGGTGAGAAAATAGCAATGAGCTTGTTTGCACAAAACTACAGTATGCAAAATTTAAGGTAGCAGCAATCATTTTACATTTAAAATAAAATACATTATTTGATTTGATGCATAATTTGATTTAAGTTACATGCAAAAGCATTGCACTGTTTTATAAAAAACATACAAAATAATTTATTACCATCCCTCCATGTAAAATATTTAACATTATTTTATCACCATAAAATAAATGCCAGAGAACATTTACCATATTTTATTAAAATAATAATGAAAATACAAAAAGAGAGAGGAACCAAACCAAACCTCTCCCGAGAAGGCATACTTAACGACTGAAACAGTCCCCTACACCGGCTCGGAACAAAATCGGGACACAACCTTAACCCAGTATGCATGCTACATTAATTAGGACCACACCAGCCATATCTCGTCCCTAACACAGCACCGCCAAAAATTAAAAACCTGTCAATAGGGTGCTGAAATATCAGAGCCTAAATTCTTGAGTACCCATATTGATAGGGTGCTGAAATATCAGAGCCGCAAGAAATGAGGAACAATTGTTGAATGAGTCTTCATTTATTTATTTATTATTGTTTATTTGTTTAAATGAGTCTATTAGAGAAATAAGTGGGGTTTGGTGTCATGCATGAGTCCACTAGGGCAGTTATTAGATCATGGATGGAGTCGTTAATGTGTCAGTTAGTTATTAGATCATGGATGAGTCCAGTTATGGGTCAGTTGTATTTCCTTCTTTATAAATACCCTAGCCTTATTCAGGTGGGGTATGCAGAATCAATATTAATTTTAGACTTGGAGATTGTCCCTTTGGCTTCTACTATCGCTCATTTGTGAGATACTTACTGTGAGAGAGAAAGTAGGAGAGTTTAGCCACTCAATTCTTAGCCTCTGATTTCTGGGTTCTGTCAATTTTGTATCAGAGCCAACGTTTTTATCCATCCATGGTGACCACACGCTCATCAGCGGCAACCCGCAATCCAGAGGAAACTCCATTTTCTGCCGATCCTCTGACCACCATTGCAGCAAAACTGGAGACACTAGACGAGTTAAAGGACAAAGTGATAGCCTTGAAGATTCAAGCCTCCAAATCCAACCGAGGGAAAGGGAAGATGAGACAGTGGGGCGATGATACTGAAGAAGAATCTGATTCGCACCGCCCGCGACCACCACAAGCAAAAATTAAATTCCCCAAATTCCAGGGAGGTGACCCGCGTGGGTAGATTCTTAAGGTTGAGAAGTTCTTCTGTTATTACGAAACACCAGAAGATGACAAGGTGGACATAGCTTCAATGTATCTGGAGGGAGATGCTCTGGATCTGTTCTCGTGGATGAATACGGAAAGGACTTTGCTTTACTGGGAAGAATTGGTGAAAGCTCTAGATGAACATTATGGGCCTCCAGAGTACTTGAACCCAGATGAGCAATTGTGCAACATTAAGCAAACAGGTTATGTAGCGGAATACCGGCAAGAGTGGGCACGAAGGATTGCACGAGTAACCAATTGGCCAGAGCACTGCTTGCTTGGAGTATTTCTGAAAGGTCTTAGAGAAGAAATCAGATCAGAAGTGAGAATTCATAAACCAAGGTCAGTTTATCTGGCTGCTAGTCTAGCCTCAAAATTTGAGAAAAAGCTAGCACAAATAAAGGGGTACAGGCCCAATTCGTACGCTTGTCAGAGTCACACCTCCAATACTAATCCCATCATGCCAGCACGTGACCAGGGAGTGACACCGGGAAACTCTAGTACGCCTTCTTCTTCGACAAACCCAAACAGAGCCACAAATTTACTTCCATCCGCAGAACGCTCATGGGAAGAAACGAGACAACAACGGCGCGACAAGGGGTTGTGTTTCTGTTGTGGGGATCCATTCCGACCAGGCCATCGCTGTTCTACTACGTTTTCGCTGCTGGAAGTTGTAGAAGACCAGAATTCAATGTCAAACTCTTTGGAATTAGCTGAAGGCACAGAACATGAACCAAGAGTAGATGCCAAGATTTATTTTAACGCCATCCTGGGCAGTCCGACAGCAACAACAATGAAACTGTGTGGCTTATTAGCTAACAAAGAAGTATTGTTGTTAGTGGATAGTGGCTCAACTCACAATTTCATATCAGATTCACTAGTAAGGGAACTTGACTTGGCCACCTCCTCTACCTAGACAATTGGGGTTCAGCTTGGTGACGGTCATCTGGTACATTGCAACTGTGTGTGCAAGGAGATTTCAGTACAACTTCCAGGTTTGACTATCACCCAAGATTTTTATGCATTTTCCCTTGTGGATTCTGATATGGTATTGGGAATTAAATGGCTTGCATCACTCAATATCATCCAATCTAATTGGAATGAGAGGTTCCTTATGCTCTGGGTGAATGGGAAGAAATATAAGTTACAGGGAATATCAAAGAGAGAGCGTCAGCCTGCAAGGTTTAATCTTATGACCACAGTGGAATCTGCATTTTGTACACCTGGACGTGACACACTTAATGTGGAAAGGGTGTCCCTGGAATCTGAAGCTGTGTTTGCAAAACCGGTCGCCATGCCTCCATTCAAAGATGATTTCCATGACATTCCTCTGAACCCGAGAGCTCAACCTCCCAGCCTGTGACCATGCAGGCACTCATATTTCCAACAGAATGAAATTGAGCGATAAGTAGAGGACCTTCTCCAGAAAGGGTTCATTGGTCCCAACTCCATTCAATTTGCAAGTTCAGTTCTATTGGGGAAGAAACAAGATAAATCATGGCGTATGTGTGTGGATTATCGGGCCCTCAACAAAATCACAGCTCCCGAAATAACTTTGGGCTGTAGGGAGGATTGCTTAAAACTTTGAAACAACTCTCAGGTACTGTTAGATCTCTCATTCAACATTGCTTTGTGTGTCAAAAGAGAAAATATGACACATTATCACTTGTTGGTTTGTTAAAACGCACCGCAACATACTTGGGAAGACTACGAGTTCCTAGTACAACGATTTCCAGAATTTCACCTTGAGGACAAGTCGACTTTCAAAGGAGGGGGTAATGATAGGGTGTGCTGAAATATCAGAGCCGCAAGAAACGAGGAACAATTGTTGACTGAGTCCTCATTTATTTATTTATTTATTTATTTATTATTGTTTATTTGTTTAATCGAGTCTGTTAGAGAAATAAGTGGGATTTGGTGTCATGCATCAGTCCACTAGGGTCTAGGGCAGTTATTAGATCATGGATGGAGGCGGTTAATGTGTCAGTTAGTTATTAGATCATGAATGAGTCAGTTATGGGTCAGTTGTATTTCTTTCTTTATAAATACCCTAGCCTTAGTGGGGTATGCAGAATCAATATTAATTTCAAACTTGGAGATTCTCCCTTTGGCTTCTAGTCTTCTACTATCGCTCATTTGTGAGAATGTGAGATACGTGCTGTGAGAAAAAGTGGGAGAGTTTAGGCACTCAATTCAAAAAGTGGGAGAGTTTAGCCACTCAATTCTTAGCCTCTGGTTTATGGGTTCTATCACATACATCCAAATTCACAATAATAAAAGTTCAAAAAAACTGAATACAATCCCCCGTCCTCATGGAATTCATCAATACAAAGTAAAAAACTGAATTCAAACTCATCCTTGGAGTTTAGGTCCATTTAGAGCGTTGCCATTAACTGATATGCAAACTGCTATATATAAAAAAAATGAAGGGGAATCAATTCCTCTCCGCGTTATTTTGCCTGTGGGTGTGAGGCAATGAAGTCCACTGCAAGACTGATTGTGTTGATCTTGTCTGCCTCGTTGTCTGGTATTTCAAACCCGAACTCTTCTTCAAGGGCCATAACAACTTCCACGGTGTCTAAACTATCTAAACCAAGATCATTTTGGAAATGTGCATTTGGGGTAACCTGCAGACAGTGTAATTATAGACAAGGGAAAAGAAGTATGAAAGAAAAGTAAGAATACAATAGGGTGGAGAGAAATTTTTGGGGAAAACAAAAGACAAACACAATTCATTTATTTTACATATTTATCCAAACTCATTTTACATGCGCAGTATTTATTTCTATTACAAAATAACTAAGATAATTTAATATATCAAAATTTTAAAGTTAATTATACTTTCCTTGGCATTTCCACACAGCCAAACATAAAAAATAACTTCCCATAACATTTTTCCCAAACATTTTCCAGAATCCAAACATAGCATAAATACCGGGGGGGGGGGGGGGGGGGGGGGGGCGTCAGAGATTAAGATACTGTTAATTAACCCATCCCAGTCCAGTCCACTGAATATATTTCATACAAGATATATGTCATAATATCTCAATGATGAATCTCAATAAGGCAGTACACAATTTATTCATTGCTAAACAAATACAGTACTTACTAAAAAAGCCAAGCTTATCACTGAAATAAATCAGATTATATACAATGAACAAAAAATGTGCCCTTGCAAGAACACGCATGCCCCATTTTGACTCAACTAAGAATGCATATTTAATTGCTAGGCTTGCAGTACACACTGTCCAAATAAATGTCAACATGTCATGTACTCTCGAGCTCCTATAAAATGAGGCAACATTTTATGTTCTATTACAGTTTCCATAATTCATATCATCATAATCAAGAAAAGTTTACATAATTTGCATTTCGAGAAGAAATAAATACAGGTCATTCAAACATAAATTATTTCACAACTTTCAGCTTTATTTCGTACTGAAATGGCGGCACTATTACTAGTTCCTACTACTCCATTTCATCTCTGAAATGGCATTATTCCTACTATACATCTTTAACTTCAAAACTTTTACTATGACCATGGTTTTAAAAGGCGTTGAGCCTTTACGCCGCTGAGGCGCAAAAGCGCTGTTCAATCGCACATAAGGCTTAAGCCTTCCATTCCCGTAACAAGGCTTGTGCCTTTTTTCCTGATGCGTAGAATTGGGCGGTGGGCGCAAGGCTTAGACGAGGCGTACGCCTCTAATTAGAAGCAACTTGGGCTTAAATTTTTTAATTATTGGGGGACTCGAATTTGTTTTCATCCTGAAATCTAAAATACAAAATACCTGGGTCGCTTGTTTATCACTGCTAGCGCCTAAGTCCTCCGTCCTCGCATATCACTGCTACTCCAGTCGAAGAGGTTCTGTCTCAGTCGAAGCTTCAGTACAGACTACAGACGAAGGACTTCCGAGCTGCTTCCGTGCTTCGTCCAGAACTTAGTTACTCGTATAAAATATTCCACCGCCTAGTTTCTTATTGTTTATTTGCGTTTAAATTTAAGTTTTTTATTTAAGTTTTTAGTTATTTAAAAGTTCAGTTTGAAGTAATTAATATTTATTCTGCCACAATATCAGGCTACAGTCTAATCTTTGTCTGTTTTTAATTAAGTTTTGGAGTATTTAATGAAGTTTTTAAGTTTTTTATTTGAGGTTTTAGTTATTTAAAAGTTTCAGTTTTGTGATTCGGATCTTTGTCTGTTTCAATATTATTACTGTATTTATTATTAGCCTACAGTTTAAACTTTAAAGTTATCATATAAAACTATTTTTTAGCTTAGTAATTTATATGTCACATGTTGTAATGCATATGGACGATAGGCTTAGTTTTGAAGATTAATAGCTCCTATTTGTCAATTTGCAAACTTAAATCTCTAAGCTTTTATGTTCTTCAGTCTTGGAATTTTAGTTTTTATGTTCTTTTGGTTTTCTTTAGTTTTATATTACTTTTTACATGTGGTATTGTTATGAATTCTATGGCTTGTAGCCAGGGGCGGACCCACCCTAGGGCTAGGGGGTGCCCGTGCCCCTGCGGTGATTTATATATATATATATATATATATATATATATATATATATATATATATATTGTAAAATTCTCAGGTCCAGCACCTCCCGGTCCGAACGCCGTCCGAACACCGCCGTTTGGGGCAGTTCCAGGTGGATTTTTTTGATGAAATTTTTGAGCATGTTCCTCATCAAGTCTAGTTTATCCATACCAAATTTCAGGTCAAAATTCGACCGGGAAGGCAGTCAAATAATTCGTTGAAGTTAACTGCGTTTTTCTATGTATAATTTGGCGCAGTTAACTTCAGCGAATTATTTGACTGCCTTCCTGATCGAATTTTGAGCTGAAGTTTGGTATGGATAAACTAGACTTGATGAGGAACATGCTCAAAAAATTTCATCAAAATATTCCGCCGGGAACCGCCCCAAACGTCGGTGTTCGGACGGCGTTCGGACAGAAAAGTGCTGGACAGAAAAGTTATGCCGATTGAGACTTATGATGTTAATATTAGAGATGAGTTGAGGAGACGGTATTTGAGAAAAGGTCCTTGTCAACCGCGTGACTTTAAATTTCCACAAAGTGATTTTAATGGGTGCAACAGATCATTCCAAAAACAGTGGTTTTATTTAAATTTTATAGTTTTGTTTATTGCTATACTCGTGATGCATATGATTTTTTTCTAGACTAGTATATCATTTCTTTGTTATTGTGCCCCTGCGAGTCACGAGTCCTGGTTCCGCCATTGCTTGTAGCAACATTTAAGCAATTAATTTCGAGGCTTAAGCCTCGTTACGCCTCGTGGCTTATGCCTCAGGAGGCTACCGCTGAACACCTTGGGGGCCGATTTCGCCTTTCAAAACCTTGACTATGACTTACCATAATTTGCACGTTTTAAAAAAACTTACAGGTTTTTCCTTTAACTGGGGGTCTTCAAAGAAAACTACTAGTGATAGAGATAAGGTATGAGTACCACCCTCCCTAAACCATACTTTTCGGTGTGAATACCTAGGTTTGATATGCTGAATCTGCTGAATTCAGAAAAGGAGAATTGCTTGGCAACACATTTTAGTGAAATTAGCAGAATAAACCCGTTTTGTCTACCAAAGGGAGCCTTCATTTAGTTTTAAAAACATAACAACATAATCAGTTTTGCAAAGGGCAGTCTTATCTTGATAATTACCCAAGGCCCGTCACATCACTATCCCATAAAAGCTATGAAAAACAAATGAAGGGAACTCATTATTTTTTGGCATTTGCGAGACACAAAGCCAAGAAAGTATCTTCTTCACATAACAAGCAAGCTTCGCAAATTAGCCTACAACATATCCAATTATCACATCACAAATCAATCTGGACCATAGTTATGTTTGATGAATCCATACAGCATAGTTTGATGTCTACCTTTTTAGTAAGCACTACTTGCACAATATTCTATTCATCATTCACTGCCTTAAAGAACGTACTGTGCGTAAAACCAACGGTAATAAAACTGTTAAAAAAACATACTCCGTATTATTCGGGAAAAATGACCCTTCTTTTCTCCCAGTAAAATTAATCTGGCCATACATATAAATCAGAAGTTCTTACACAAAATAACAATAGAAAATTATTCCATAGGCCTTGCGGGCCTGCCTCACATAGTCACATACTCTTCGAAGAAATCGTTAATCATTAGAGAATTAGACGTCGAGGATTTAAAGGCGAAGAAAGAATTAGAGGGGAGTGAAACGCGAGAAAGAACAAGTGGAGTACCTTTGCTGGATCGACTTTCTGAAAGTTCTTGACGACGGTGATGACACGGTCAGTGACTTCGGATTTATCAAGGAAGGAGCCTCTGGCTAGCTCGCAGAAATGACGGCTGGGTCCAATCAGTCGAGCCAATGGGCCTCTAGGGTTAGGGGTTGAGCTTCGAAGAGCAACGGCTTCCATTCTGAGGTGCTTTAGCAGCGCATTTCTCATGGCCGCCGCCATCACAACCGAATGAGAGAGGCTAAGACCGAGGAAGATCTGAGATGGAGGGCGAAGATGATGAACACTGCAAAGATACGGGGGACTACTCGGGTTTTTATAGGGAAATTTAAGATATTCGTAACTTTCGGCTTTTAAGGCCCCTAACTAATTAATATTTGTAATTTAAGTACTTTTCCCGTACACTTTCCGACAATAGCATACCGGAAAAGATGTAGTCGGCGTCGAACTTTTCTGCCGGAAAGTGTACTTTCCGGTGGAAAAGTCCTTAAATTACAAAGATTTATTATTTACAGGACCAAATTTGCTAGTACTTAAAGTTAGACCGCCAAAAACGATAACAACCGAAAGTTACAGAACTAAAATTGTAAATCTCCCGTTTTTTATAATGGAAAAAGGGGCAAGTAAGTCCGGTACTAAACAAAAAAGGTCAAATAAGCTCTTATATAGGAGGCTATGTCCGGCCGTCATCATTTGGGGAGGTTCCCGGTGGAAAGTTTTTATGCATTTTTTTGAGCATATTATTCATTAAGTCTAGTTTATTCATACCAAATTTCAGTTAAAACTTCAATCGGAAAGACATTCAAATGAATTCTTGAAGATAACTGCGCAGTTAATAGCGCAATTATCTTCAAGAATTTATTTGAATGTCTTCCCAATTGAATTGTTAGGTGAAATTTGGTATGAGTAAACTAGACTTAATGAATAAGATTCTCAAAAAATATCATAAAAAAATTCCACCCGGAACTGCCCCAAATGGCGACGGCCGAACAGAGTCTCCTATATAAGGGTTTATTTGACCTTTTATTGTTAGTACGTGGGCTTATTTGCCCCTTTTTCCTTTTATAATTGGTCCAATTTCAAGGAAGATATTAAGGGTGTCCCGAACTCATGAAAATATACGGTGGAAATATCCCGTTCTGATCACCTTTTTTAGTTTCACCTCATTATTTACTTTTCAATTATAGACTTTCCCTTTTTCACTTTTATCTTTCTTATTTCAAAAATGATCTAAATCTTCGTTCAGAGATTAATAGGCACATCCTCATTACTCACAGAGACGAGTGTGGCTCCTCCTTCACCGCAGCTCTTGCTGCACCTCCGGCCTCGGCGCAGCTCCTGCTGCACCTCCGGCCTCGGCGGCTCCTCTCTCCGCTCTAAATTTTGCCTTTCCTCCTATGCGGCTTACCTATCCTCCCTCCTCCCTCTGCTCTCTGTCATGTTCATCTCCGCTCCCTTCCCTCTGCCCGTGCATGCTTGGCAACTCTCTGCTTGCTGAATCGCGTCCGAATTGGATGCGGATTTCCGATTTGCAGGTATGTAATTGAGACTTCCGATTTTTTTATAATTCATATAGTGAACAAAGAACTCAAAGTTAATTGAGATTTACTTACAATTGTTCATGAGATTTAAGTTAGATAAGTATTATTTTACTAAGTAAATTGAACTACCTTTATTATCGGCTGAGAACTGAAGTGAACAAAGCACTCAAAGTTGCACGTGTTGGGAAGTTGATCGATGCCAGTTTAGAGGCAATGGTCTATCTGTACACTTGGAACACTAGAATTGTTGTACGGTTAAAGGAAGCAGCACATGAACCCAAAAATGATGCTGATTTGTTGCATCAGATCTTTATAACATCACAGGTACTATGTGTAGCCTCCTCTGCTAGGATCTTTTCACTAGACCTATCAATTGATAATCAATTAAGCATATGAGGTGGTATGTGAGTTTATTAGAAGATGACCAATTTGTTTAGTATTAAAAAAATCATGAACACATTTTCAAAAATTGTGGTTGGCAGGTGGATGTCTTTTCATCCTTGGAAGATGAACAAATTGAAGGAATACCATATACATGAGAGTAAGTTATTCAAGGAGGAAGTAAAGTCTGGGTTGGTGTGTCCCGAGCAAAGGGAGAGAAATGTGAAAGACGTTGGAACTATTCACCTCAAGTTGGTTTTTTTATGACCATCCTTCAGTTGCATTTTGTAGGTCAAACCTTAATTTTTCTACCTTTTAAGTTCCAATTCAGATTTACCTTCTTAATCACTTTTTGAACTTTTCTTATGAATACAGCTAGGCAGCTTGAGGGTGTATCAACAACTATCATCCTATCAGCAAACAAATTAATAACCACACCAAGCTTTTGAGCTGCAGCAGCAGCTCCCTCTGCCTGGACTGCAGTAGATGCATCTTTGAAACCTATCATGCATGGGTTATTTGTATAAGTAGGATTAATTTGTGTTTCTAAGTTAGATTACTGTATAATATACTAAAATGTACTCTTAAATCATATTACAAATGTGAAAGATGAGATAAATGACTTTCTTGATTTGGCACGAGTATGAATAATTAAGTTAAACTTCGTTATAAATAAATAGCATATATATATGTGATAATGTTGCAGCATAAGTGAGCTTCTTAGAACATGGTTCAGCCGTATGCGAGTTCAAGATGACGAAGTGTACAGGAATTGTGTCGTTTCATCCTTTAGTTAGAGAGACATTAACATGTTTCTATGTTTCTGATTTATTTTAGGACTCACGATCAAGTTGCAGAGTAAAAGATTGATAGTAAAGCTCTAATTATTAATGTGTTGATGCATATCGGTACTCATGTTTTTGTTGCTTATTGTTTCTTTATGTTTCCATATTTTTGTTTCTTCTTGTTTCTTTTTGTTATGTGATGTTGATTTTTGTTGTATGTTATTTCTAATCATTGTTGATCATTTTCATTTCTTGATTTTATTTTTATTGTATAATGGTTATTGTTATTTTCATTTCCATCATTTTCAATGGAGCCAAAGACTCACTATTTTTTGGCTTGGAAATATGATGGAATAAAGCAAAATGACTCACTAAACTGTCTGCGCTTCTTTGTTATGAAGTAACAGTCATTCTATGCAATTTTCGACGCAATTTTCACTATGGGTCATTCGGAAACAGTTTCTCTGTGCTTTAGTACAGGGGTAAGACTGCGTACATCCGACCCCCCCTTACCCCACCATAGGTGGGAGCCTTTGCGGTACTGGGGTAATGATAATGATGATGATAATGATGAATGTTTATTGTTATTGCTTCGAAATGCAAAACATATGCGCATGCGTGTATGCTTGTGTGTACAAAACTACAAACACACAACCTAAAATGATAAACTTACATTTATGAAATCAACAACAAGAAACATAATTAAACAATTAAAAACAAATTTTGCAAATTTATCAACAAAAAGAAACACAATGAAAAAACAATCAACAAAAACTAACAATAATATCCTCTTGTGATTTTTTGTAACTTTATAAATAACAATTAATTTTTGTAACTAAAATCATAACAAATCGAAAAAAATCATATGTAGTATTATTTACTTTTTAAAATTTCCTTCATTTTATAAATTTTCTACATTATACTCATTTTAATTTTTTCACATTTTTTTGAATACTTATGTTTTATATTTTCCTTTTTAACCTTTTTATTATCATTTTTTATTTTACTTGCCTTTAAGTTTATTTTAATTTTTTTTTATAAATTTTAAGCTCCATTTTTTTAAAACTATAAATGTTAATATCCTTAGTTTCTATTTTTCATTTGCTTATACAAAATTTAATTTCATTTTTTGTAAAATTTAATGTTAATATTTTCTAAATTATATATATTTATTTTTATTTTTTTAAACACTATAAATTCCGACTTTAAACATACTTTGTATTATTCTTTCATAAAAATTTATAGTTACTTTTACTTTTTATAATTTTTTAAATAATTATTTATCTGATTTTACATATTTTTGTAATATTATGTATTCATATTTTTACAGTTTAAATTTGTTTGATTAAACTTATCATTTTTTAAATTTGTTACAGTTTATGTTTTATATATATATTATTAAATATTTAAACAAAACTGCAATACGAAAAATCGTTATTTTTCAATTCTCCTACTATTTTAAAAAATAGATTTTTCGATTTTTTTATTTTTAAAAAATTTCATACATTTACTTGTACACTTTTCTTAGTTTTTTAATTTAAATATTTAAAATGTAATTTAAAAGTTCTCGATTTTGCAATTTTTACTATGCATTTTAATTTTTTTTGTCTTGAGTTTTTTAATTTAATCTTAGTTCATAGACTTTTATTGTGTACTTAATTATTATTATTATCTTTTTATTTTTTCATGGACTACACATTTTGTTTAAAAAACAATTCAGTTACTTTATTACTTTATCAATGAGTGAGTAGATCTATACATCGTTATTTATTTATGTAGTTAGTTTCTGTACGAAGAGTAGATCAGTAGAACTTCTAGTAGTCCTTTAGAGGGTATGATCTAATTTTGAAAGGAAATATTAAGTTAGTCTACTTTTGAAAAAAGATTTGTAAGGTGACAAAAGTGATATAATTTTCACTTTTTAGTCTATTTGTGAAAAATTCCCACACCATAAAAGCTTCAACGATATGAGTTCTCGATTTTTTTTATCAAAAATCAAGTACCATTGCACAATTCATATGAATGATATGCATTACTTATAAATATCAAAAGACACCAACTTGTAATTAGCTTCAACTCACTGCCTCACAAACGAGAATATTTAACGTTGTTGAAACATTTGGTGCAAATCTCCTATATGAGGTTTGCCATCCCAGATGGAATTAATTTCACATTTGGTCTTACGAGTTTTATGTCAATTCCACATTTAGTCCACGTCTCTCACTTTATCCACTTTTGGTACTTGACCATTGTTTTCTTGACCATTTTCAATCCATCTCCGTATATTTTAACCACCGGAAAAGGACTATATATGGGCGAAAAACAATAGTCATGTACCAGAAGTGGTTAAAGTCAAAGACGTGGACTAATTATGGAATTGATGCAATAATCGTAGGACCAAAAGTGAAATTTATTCTCTGAGATGAATGAAAATGTTGAATATGTGTTTAAAGTTGTCTTTAATTATGAATTACCCTACTCAACTTGGACTCATGTACATTATCAAATCTTTTATCTATATTCAGAACAAGAACATGTCTTTTAAAGCCCGTTTGATAACCTATATTTTCAACTTATCAACCAGCTTTGTATCAAACACATAATTTCTCATTTGACATGATGAATTGTGTAAC